GCATTTAATGCAAATTCTGCACCAGACTAAAATGTTAGACGCTCAGAAGTCTGAATACTTACAGAAGCATGCAGTTTTCTGTGTTATTTTCTGTAATTGTGTTTATAACTCAAAATCATATTTTTGCATTTTACTTGTTAAATTTCCTTCCAAGAAGCACTTATCATTTGCATCCAGCCATATTATTTGGGATTTGCCTACCTTGGTGGTGCTAGGCCCTCCTGTGCTGACGTAACCAGCCCCAAACATCTTCTCATAGCGCAGGATGCCACGTTTGGTGTACTGCTGGTTGTCCAGGAATTGCTGGAAGGTTTTGAATCCATTCTGGCTGTTCGAGGAGCGAGTGACCTTCTCTAGCAACCAGCAGATTTGATTTGGATTGTTTTTCATCTGTAAGTGTTGGATGGATGAGAAGGTGACAGGTAGTAAAGGTAGTAAATGGGTTAACTACATGTCCACACACCAGCATCAGAAACTGCCATGTGCTTTTTTCAATCCTAATATGACTCAAATGTCTCTACCTCAACGTAGGTCTGAACTCTCCTTTTCAAGACAATGTCGAAACCAAACGTTTGGCCCTCTTTTGGCTCCGTCACTTGCACTGTTGTAGTCATGTGGCTATATTGGGCCTCAGTACGGTAGCAGGTGGGGTTGAAATCCCTCTTACTGTCACCTTGGTAGAAAATTATGAATGAAAACAAACTAATCTCCATGGAGCATAGAAAGTGAGCAGTTAAAAGAAAGTGTACAGACATCTAATTAAATCTTTTTGAAATAAACAGGCAGAGGACTTCATACAATCTTTCTTAAGTTACCTTCATTTAGCATAAAGGTTTAAACATTGAATTTAATTCTGCATCTGTACCTGACCGGTGGTTGCAGGACTCTCTGAAAAACAGAAAGCCTCCAGGCTTCAGCCAGGTAAGCATTTTTTGCATAACCGAATTCAGCTCCTCGTCACTCAAATACATCAGTAGCCAGTTGGAGAAGATAAAATCAATGCTGAGGAAAAAAAAGCATCATTCTTTTATCACAGCAACCAACAGTATTTTCAGTATATAACAAATAAAGCTGCGTGTGTCGTCTCTCTGCCTTTCGAAACTGGCTCCTTTCAGAGTTACTACTTCCACTTGTACACCTATGATGTGTGCTGGAAACAGTGACCTTTTAACTTATGTTTCATTTTGGGGAAGTGGACAAAGTTGTGGTGAATGTGTATTGTGGCCATAATACTTCTGCCTTTTCTATGCACTGGGATTCATGATAGCATACGCTACAGTTAAGGCAGTTTCTACTAAATGCTCCTCCTAAGATGCCTTTGGCTTGGAAACTGCAGACTCTCCCCCTCTAGACTATTTGATCTGTGGGCCATAGCTGACAAAAGGGGTGATTCTTCGCTCTCTGCATGTTTAAGGTCCCATAGGGACACTACAGATGTGCACGTGCAAGCCCTCAAAGAGAAAGCTAGAAGCAGGATGTAGGAAGATAGATTTCATGGAAAAAATGTGTCATTTCATTTCACTTAAAAGGGCAAATGTCAGCTTTATCGTTTCCAAGGTAAGCCTCTGCTGAAGCCACTTCTGCGCATGTTAAATATACTCATTTTATGACAGTTTATCCAGCTGTTTTTGAGATAATTCAGAATCAGGCCAGTAGACCAGCTGACTCACAGTAGTGCCATTCATCGAACCACGGCATTAGTGAGGTTAAATATTAACGACGATATCTTAACACACACCTGTTTTGGGGAACATCCAGCTTTGTGACATCAGCTTGGAGGAAGGTACCATTGCTATGGTGGCCATTTTTCTGCCTGTTCTTCTCTATAAAACTTTCCATGAAGTCCACAGCAGTCACATGGGCTGCCTTGGTCAGCAGGTGCTTGGTGTAACGACTGGATGCAAACATAAGAATATAAAATGACTTTTGCTACATATATTCATCGAGTGCTCCTCAGTCATAAATCTTTATACTAAATGAAGTCTGAACCCCAAAAAGTTGATTCTGTTCATCTGGACACTGCTGGTTTCCCCAACCTTGTAAACAGTACATTCGTATAATGACTGGAACTAGCCTACTGAATGAACAATGATCTGTGAGTTCAGTTTCTCCATCATTAATATGCCATTTTAAACATTTATTAAATATTACAGTACTCCATTAGCTTATACTTCTTCTACTAAATCCCTGTCTTTTAAAGCACTGACTTTCTTGTCTTCTTGTACTGTTTTCCCAGAATTCTAAGTCTATTGCAGCTGTGTGCTCACCCAATTCCTGCTCCCAGCTCCAGCACTTTGCATCCCTCCAGGCTAGGCAGCATGGAGAGGATCTCTGGCAGCTCATGCTGAGTCAGTTCTTTGGCACGAGAATCCAGCATCATCTCCTCCACTGTAGCAGCCTTAGAGTGCTCCTTCCAAAACTCTGTCATATTGCTACGAACTATCATAAGAGAACACACAGGGTTGGCAAGAAGCTAGATATGCGTGTAAGTGGGTGTGTGCGTATGGACACTAATAATGATGGCAATGCAGTTACAATTTATGAATGTGCAATTAAGATTTAATTCCCATGGGATGATGTGTCAAAGTTCAAGGGTACCTGTCTGTGAATCATCTATCA